CAGTTGTGGCAAATAAATAAAAAGTGTGCACGTACTCTGTAGGGCAGACACAGGGAGGAAGATGAGGTCAATGTGGCAGTTCTGTGGGAACATGCATCACCAAGGCACCAATATGGCACTGTTGAAAAGAAGGTGTGATAGTGATGCTTCCGTACTGGTATGTTTCCATTTGCTTAAACAATGTGATTGCTGCAAGACAATAGACTGGTGTGATAAAGCTCCAAGAGAATCTACTTTGAGAGGGCTTGACATGATGCTCTCCCTTCCATCCCTTTCATATACGGTATGGTACTGCAGCAGGAAGGAATCCACCCTTCATCCTCCATTTCATCTTCTATTCATGTGGTGGAAGCACTGTGACACAAAACACTGGGTGAGATGCATTCTGAAGAAAGGAAAATGGCAGATCACTTCAGCCCCTCTGCAATAGGTTGATGCCTGATGTCAGTCCCACTGAGCCCAGGCCTTTGTCCAACCATGATAGGTGCTGCTAATAGGTCTGCAAAGCAACATTACTTCATGCTGCTGTCTTCAGATCACAGCATAATACTGCCCTGATGAAAACTGAAAACGGGTGTTTTGTTCAACGAATATGCAAACTCTCATACTCATGTCATGCCAGTGGTGCAGCTATGTACAAGCGAGAACATGTGCATGCTATGAGTTTGCTTTTGGTTTGGGCAAACTAGAAATTCTAAGCTCTGTTTCTAACTGAAAACTGCCATTTAAGCTGTACAGATATCAGAAGATGCTGGCCAAGTGATACAGTGTGGAGACTCAGAGCTGAAGTATATAAATAGTGTGTACCAGATTAGTCTGTGTGATTGTCACATAAGCACACATGTATATGTATATTTCAAAACAGATGAGCTGAAAATATAGCTGACATTATTAGGTTCCCACTGGTTGCAAGATCTGAGGCAACAGCAGAGTGCTGGAGCTGTGTCTCTTTTTAGACCAAAGTCTTGTGTGCCACTATGCACTATGGATTAATGTGGCTATTTTTAGTGTGATGAAGTAAATGGCCATGAATGTGGAAACTGAAAGCATGATTACCCAGGACATTCAAGTCCTATTGATTACTGTAGACAAGCATTAAACACACTACTATGGACATGGATCCTAATCCAGTCACAAGATTCAGGTGCAGAAGTCTGATATAGGAAAGCATGGCTGCCTCTGATTCTGTCTGGAGGAGAACTATTGTTGATTACTTTATCATCATGGACAGCTGTATCTGCTCAAGAGCTTAGAACAATTACTTTTTTGGACTAGAAATCTTAGGATCCCTCAGCCAATATGGCCATTGTTTTGTAGTCTAGGAAATTCTGGGAGTTGTCCAAAAGTTACATTTCCAAACTCTGATCTGCATGCAAAAATAAAATAAAATAAAATAAAATAAAATAAAATAAAATAAAATAAAATAAATTATTCTTCTGACGTTTCAGTTGTTGCTTTGGGATCTACAACCAGCTTGTCTAGTCAGGTGCAAGAAAACTGGACTTGTACCTCTTTCCTCCTTCTGTAGCTTTCTATAAGTGTAGCCAAGAGCAGCAAGTTCTATTGCAACTTTTTTTAAAAAATCATGAGTATAAAACTGGTGCAACAAACATGTTTTTCCCAGACCTAGTATTACTACTTAACCAAACCTGGAAGTAACACATTAGAAATTGTGATGTTGCTTGTAGTGTGTTGGCTTTTTCAGTAATATGTGCCTACCAATGTTAACTTTTAAAAAATAATGCAACAATCTAACATTCTGTTTTTTCCATCCTATAATAACATTTAGTCTTTGATTCAAAAGATTACTTTTAGGGGGGCATTAAGTGATTTGGAGTTATGTTATAATTTCTTTAAAGATTCAAAGGTTTAAAAAGTAAGTAGCATGCTATGTAACAAGTTATATGAGCAACATGTTACAAACCAATACAAAGGGCAGGGTGGTGACAAGTAACACAAAAAAGTTTTTTAAAAGTAATGTTTCACGCTCTGCATCTGAAAAGTTTGGCACTATGCTAAGGGCCGTCCCAAACCTGGAACCAGTTCTGATTTATTCTCCTCAAGTGGCTCTCTCAAATCATTTTTACTGCTGAAATAAAATAAGTTATTATAAGTGACTCTGAGTGTTAGGAAGTAATATATACCAGGTAACATATGTATAGTGGGCCCTTAGTTCTGCTGGAGTTTGGTTCCAGGACTCCACATGGATACCAAATCTGTAGAGGTGCGAGTCCCATTATATTCAATGGTGCAGTAAAATGGTGTGTCTTATATAAAATGGTAAAAATCAAGGTTTGCTTCCCCCCCCCCTTTCCCTTTTTTTAGTATTTTCAAGTTGTGGATGGTTGAATCCTCGAAATGGAAGACCAACTGTAATAGTTTACAGCTTGCAAGAGCAAAGCACATACCACTTTGAAAGAAAGAAAGCTTTTAAATGTTTGTTTCCATTTCATTGCATCACATTATAATTGAGGATGAACTCATTATTAGTTATGTGAAATTTAAAACCTCAGTTCATAGCTGGGCAACCTGGTGTCCTCCAGGTATTTTGGGGTCCATGTGATTATGGGGGTTGTAATCCAAAATATCCAAAATTTATAATGTGTTGTTATTTTGAGTTTTAGTTTGTCATTTATATTTGTACTTGTTTTTATAAAGCCTCTGAGGTAGGCTATTGAGATATTTATGTAGATTAAAATGTATTGGACTTGTATCCAATAAATAATAAAAAACAAACACCAGACCATCTAGAAAGCACAAATTTAGTCCCCCCCCCTTTTTTTTTCTTGTGGGCTTTGACTGCAAAGGCAGAAGAAAAAGAAATTGAAAGATTCTATGCTGAAATCCACAAGGAAATTGAACACACCAAAACTTGGTTAATTATATGCAATTGGAACACAAAAGTGGAAAAAATAAAAGCTGACAGAAATAGGTTCTGAACCCTGAGTGTAACTGTTCAGTGACAGGGATATGGAGAATGACGATATTAATCAATGAGCAGAAACAGAAAATGACAATACAAAAGGAAGAACAAGAGACATTTTCTGCAAGATCCAAGAAAACAAAGGAAAATTTAAACTAAGGAGATTATCACACATACAAAAAGATCCAGTTTACCCCTTCTGAACTGGAGCCAATTCAGCCTGAGCTGAGTCTTATCACATGACTTTTCCAGCTTAATTTGGCTTCTGAGTACAACCCCACTCCAATGCTGATCCAAAAACACGCTCCGGTGGCCATTTTTTTAAAGTCAGAAATGACCTAAAACAAATGGCTACCGGAGTGCATTTTTGGATCCGCATTGGAGCAGGGATGTACTCAGCAGCTGAATTAAGCTACAAAAGCCATGTGATAAGACCCAGCTTAAGCCTAAATTGGGCTCTAATTCGGAAAGGGTAAGCTGGATCTTTTTGTATGTGTGATAATCTCCTAAGAGTGGGAATGCAAACACAATGGAAACGATACAGAAGCACTATATAAAGAGATAAAAAGATGATAGATTCATTCAAGGAAGAACCATTTGAAGATGAGCCAACAATTAATATACGGAGAAATAAATCACCAGGAACAAATGGCAAACTAACAGAGCTGCTTCAAGCTACAGAGACAGAACCTACTCTAGTTCAAACTAAAATCTGTCAACAAATATGGAAAACAAAACAGATTAGAAACACTCAATATACATCCCAATCCCTAAGACGTTGACCACCAAGGATTGCAGTAACCACAAGATTATTGCATTAATCTCTCATATTGCTGTATATGGATCAACGAATACCAGACGTCCAAGTTGGGTTTAGGAAAAGAAAGGTACATATGTTGGATAATGGAGCACACCAAATAATCTCAGAAGAAAACCTGTGCTTTAGCAAAGCCTTTCATAGTGTCGATCATTACAAGAAAAAAAAAAACCCAATACTGATAGCTTTTAATATGTGTGTCATGACATTTGATTGACCTAATTCCATGTTGGTGAACCAGTGGCATGTGTGCCATTTCTAGCATGCAGCCTGGTCTGCGAGGGCATGGCAGCCACCAGTGGTAGGGGCAGGAGGTGTGCATGCATGCAGCCCAACTCCTTGTCATGGTCTGGTTTGCCCCAGGACAGCTGCGTCACAGCAAGGAGGGGCAGGAAGGCATGCACTGCCATCTTGGCTTCTTGCAATGGCTTGGTTCTCCTGTGGAAACTGGCCACTGAAGGAGCTGGGTCGTGTGCTGGCGTTCCAATTGGAAGTCCTGACCCTTCCGGCCAGAAGTCCTACCCCTTGCTATGGGGTTCTGGCAACTGTAGTTTTTTGTTGTTGTGTGCCTTCAAGTTGTTTAAAACTTATGGTGACCTTAAGACGAACTTACCATGGGGTTTTTGTTCAAAGGAGGTTTGCCCTTGCCTTCCTCTAAGGGTGAGAGAGGGTGACTTGCCCAAAGTCTCCCAGTGGGCTCTGATGGGAGGACAAAAAGAGCAATCCTTGGAAGGTAAGAGACCATAATGTCCTCTATTTTAAGCCAGGGTGAACCAGCTGTCCTCCTTTTCCAGGACAGGCCCTCCCTTTCCACCTACTTCTGTACAGGAGGAATTCCATAATGCCCTCCATTTTTAGCCAGGATGACCAGCCGTCCTCCTTTTCCAGGATAGGCCCTCCATTTCTACCTCCTTCTGTCCAGGAGGAATCCTATAATGTCCTCCATTTTGAGCTAGGGTGACCAGCCTCCTTTTTCCAGAACATGTCGTGCACTTCATCCTTTTGTCCAGGAGGAATTTCAAAAGGTCCTCCCTTCAAGGCCATCCATGGGGTTTTCTTGGCAAAGTTTCTTCAGAGGAGTTTTTGCCATTGCCTTCTTCCCATGAGGCTCAGAGAGTGTGGTTCCTGAGTGACTTCAAGCCCTTTCTGACTTAGGGTGACCCTATCCTGGGGTTTACTTGGCAAGGTTTCTTCAGAGGAGCTTTTGCCATTGCCTTCCCCTAAGGCTGAGAGAGTGTGACTTGCCCAAGTGGGTTTCTTGGCCAAAATGGGAATTGAACCCAGGTCTCCAGAGTCATAGTCAAACTCTCAAACCATTAAACCATGCTGGTTTTAACTTTATTATCTACTCAGCTGTATTTTTCTGATGAACTCTAAAATGGTTTGTTGGCTTGCAATATACTTATAGAACTGACCAAAACACAGACTTAAAATTATACTTTACTAGCCACAAATCCTTGACTGAGGGGCAAAACAGACTTCCCCGAAGGAGTGGCATCACACTGCCTCTTTGATTGCTGGGTTGGGGCCTCAACAACTGCACACCACGCTCCCAACCTGGGATTTTGCCAGCTCAAAAACAAGCAGCAGAAAGCCTCTCCTTTTTGAGCTGGGAAAAAGCTGGCTTTTCTGTAGCAGCAGCGGCAGCCTTTCAGAGGTCCTGCAGCATGGGGGGTCTAAACATGGTGCCACCAGAACGCCCAAAAGCTGATGCTGTGTGGTCAGGTGGGTGGCTTCATGGCAGCCTCCTGGCAGTTTGGGGGCATGCGTCATCTAAATGACACACTGCCAAGCTGCCAGGAAGCTGCCCGCCTGTTTCACCCCTGAGCCTACATTCAAATTATTCCTTTTAGTTGTCCATTGTGCTGGAATTAAGGGGAAAAACCCATTCAAGATTTGCATTGTATCCTGAAGCAGCCCACTGCCTAACACTGTTGCTGTCCTTCTCCCCTCTCAGAAACAAACATACCCTGAGCTCTGGGTGCAAGGCTTTGCTGCTGCTGCTGCTCCAAGGAAAACAGGACTTATCCAGGAGGGATTCCAAAAGGTTCCCCATTTTGAGCATGGCTGAGAAGCATGGATTTATATCTGTATTTTAGCTCAGGGTGATCAGACTTGGTCCTCCTCTTTTTCAGGACCTGTCCTCCATTTCAACCTCCTGTCCAGGTGGGAGTCCCAAAGGTCCTCCATTGTGAGCAGGACTGAGAAGGATGGGTTTAATATTTATATGAGTGGCTTTTTTGTTTTGAGCTTTTATTTGGTCAGGTCCTCCATTTTTTCCTTGTGTCTTTTCCCCTGGAAGTCCCACCTCTGGAAGTCCCAGCCCCCAGAGGTCCCGCACTCAGCACCCAGTGACACTCGGTGCAGGAACGCCACTGAGTTTGGGCGCTCGGCCTCTAAAAGGTTCGCCATCACTCAGGACAAAAGGCTGCCATCAGGACCGAATACAGAAATCAAATGGTTTCTAATTGGCAAGAGGATCAGACAAGGCTGCAGTTTATCATCCTATCTGTTTAAATTTTATGCTGAACATATCATGCGTAAAGAAGGATTAGATGTCCAGGAAAAAGGTGTGAAAATTGGATGAAGGAACAGCAACAGTTTAAGATATATGTGTACAGATAACACCATACTATTAGCAGAAAATAGCAAAGACTTGGAAGAATAATTGAAGAAAGTAAAGGAAGAAAGTGCAAAGGAAGGTTTACAGTTGAACATGGGGGGAGGAAAATTGTCCACTGATGGTTTACATAACTTTAGATGATGAAGGAGCTTTGCAGACCAGTCCAAAAGGCTGGCCTGGGGGTGGAGTTGGGGTGAGGCAGTTCGCCGTCTGCCATCCCAACTGCACCCCGATGCCGTCCTCATGCCGCGCGCCGATTTGCACAGCACGAAAGCATCAGGATGCCTTTCTGGTGCAGTGTGCAGATGCACTGCGCTGAAAGGGCATGGAAGAGCTGCAGCACCAGCTCCTAGAGTGACCTTTTGCCGCCCTTAAAAGGAGCAGCATTTTGCCACTCTATGGGGTGACAAAAGAGAGGATTGGGGCTGATGTGTGGGGTTGCTGTGGCCCCGATTCACTGCTAGCAGGGGCAGCCCAGAGCCGCCCATCTGCATAACCCCATAGACATTGAAATAGTTCAGGATTTTCCATACCTTGGCTCAGCCATTAATCTGAATGAGGACTGCGTTCAAGAAATCAGAAGACGAGGAGCTGGAAGAGCAGCTATGAACGAACCAGATAAGATCCTGAAGATATATCATTGGATGCTATCGTTCAGATTGTCCATGCCATCACATTTCCAATTTCTATGTATGGTTGTAATTCCTTCCTTTGAAATATAGCCTCCAGCACCTGGGATTGGTTGGCAGTCTCCCATCCAAATACTAGCCAGGACCGACCCTGCTGAGCTTTCAAAATCAGATGAGATCTGGTGCTTTTAGGGTATACCTATGGCTTTATACTGTCCTCCACTACTGAAGGGTTGAAATCCATGAGAACACATGATAAAATAAATCAGTTTAAAATGTGCTTCTAGATTCTTCTCCCACACCACAAATGCCCTTTCCCTCTCATTTCCCACCTTTTTTTAAATGAAGAAACTGAACAATATGGCTACTGCTCTGAAAATAATCAATACTTAAGGAGACTTTGACCTTCAGGCAATTATTAGAAGTCTGAATATGTATAGATGCACATTTTGGACTGCTGTGGAATGCCTGGGGCATGTTTGTGTTCAGAGACAATTTGGAAAAGGAAGGGAGGTAGTAGGGATGAACATTTTAATTTTATTTATTTACCTGCCAATTTCTGGGGAATAACAGCAACTGTGATGTTCTTTGTACTTTGGAAGTCCCTTACAAGCATGTAGGTATGGGATAGGGGTACAAAATGAGAATATTGCCTCCCCAAATAAGACTTTTCCCCACCATGAACTTTTTCTTTGGTCCCCAGATTTCTAGCATTGCAATAACTTAAAACTTTTGCAGAATATTTCAAAATATGGTTTAGGAAGGCAAAGGTAGTAAGGAAGCGCAAACACAGTACGGCATGAACAATTTTCAGCATCCCACTCTCCAATGCTAGAAATTTGGTGATTGAAGAAAAATTTCATTGAGAGTCTTCAAATCTGATGGTGAGGATTGTGGTGTTCAGGCTTTTTCTTATACTTGTTGTACTGGGTTTTTAAACTGAATTGTTTAATTTATCTGTTTTAATATATTATTATTTAATACTTTTTTAAGAGGGGAGGGGGGTATCTTCTATCTTTTATTGTTATGGATTTTATTGATGTATTCGTGTATTTTAATATGTAATATGTAAGATTGGGCTTCCATTGGGCGGGGTAAAAATAAATTTATTATTATTATTATTATTATTATTATTATTATTATTATTATTATTCATTTCACTACCCCCTCATAGCTACACTTCTGGTCCCTTATAAATTCCTTATCCATGCAAAAATACGTGTGGGTTTTCTTCTTTCTTTCTTTCTTTCTTTCTT